GGGGTCCATGAGAAGTTATTTTTCTTCTTCAGCAACGAGAAAAATCGATGACTCTTATCGGAGGACCTCGAGATGAATCGCCCCAAGGTGGCGATGCGCCCGGTTAGTCTTTGCACGGCCTTCACATTGTCCACTACCGTGATAGCTTTGATCTTGTCAGGGTTGATCTCGATTCCTCGGTTGGATACCATGAACCCGAGAAATTTACCTGACCCAATTTCGAATGCGCATTTTTTTGGATTCAGCTTCATGTTGTACTTCTTCAATATACTGAAGGTTTCCTGCAAATGCTTTAAATGGTCCTTTGCTCGCAGGGATTTAACTAACATATCGTCAATGTAAACTTCCATCGATTTTCCTATTTGTTCTTCGAACATCCGATTTACTAGGCGTTGTTATGTGGCACCGACATTTTTTAATCCAAATGGCATTATATTATAACAGTATGTGTCATTTTAAGTGATGAAGGAGGTTTTTTCTTGATCACCCGGGTCTATCCGTATTTGGTTGTACCCGGAATAGGCATCGAGAAAACTGAGGATCTCGTGGCCGGCCGTGGCATCGATCATACGATCGATGTTGGGCAAAGGAAAAGAGTCTTTGGGGAATGCCTTATTCAAATCTTTGTAATTTACACACATTCTTAGTTTATTCTCTTTTTTAGGGACTACCACTACGTTTGCTAACAAATCCGGATATTTAAACTCTCGAATGGACCCTATTTTTAGGAGTTTAGATACCTCGTCCTTGATGAAAGCATGTTTGACCTCAGACTGGGTCCTCCTCTTTTGCTTGACCGGATTAATTTTTGGGTCCATGCTTAGTCTGTGAGTGATTATTTCTGGTGGGATCCCTTCCGATCGGGCAAATGCTCGATTAATACAATCTGCTCCAGCTCTTTGACCATCGATTTGGTTACGTCGGAATCATTGGGGATTATAAAGATCGGGGAACCCCGTGATCATCGTCGGAGTAAGTTTTTTGCTTATCTGATCCGATGAAGTTCGGGATCAGTAATTGCTATTTGGCTTTTGGATTGGCGCTAGTATTCGGTTCCTTTGGTGTTGTGAGCGTTGATATCGGAACCACTTCTTCGACGACAGAAATCTCTTTTATGGCTGGTTGTTCCTCGCAGATTGTCTTGATCCCCCCTGGGACTAGGAATTTTAACACTTGATGAAGAGTTGAGGGTACTACTCTCATGTGGTGGATCCATGGCCTTCCGAGAAGGGTGTTGTACCTCATATCCCCTTTGATCATATAAAACTTGCCTCCCGTACGATTCTGGCGGTGTTGACCGGTAACGTTATCTCCCCTTTGGTGGTTTCACATGCCATGTTGAACCCGTTTAGGACTCGGACTGCTGGCACGATCCGGTCTTGTAGATCAAGCTATTCTACGACCTTTGACCGAATAATGTTGGTCGAGCTACCTAGATCAATTAACACATGTTTGATTCTAATTTTATTTATGAGTACAGATATTACCAGTGCGTCATTGTGAGGTTGTATGATCCCTTTTGTGTCCTCGTCGCTAAAGGATAAGGCTCCTTCAGGTACGTAGTCTCGAGTTTGTTTCTCCCTGGTGGCGGAGATTCTGCTGCATTTCAACATTGGCCCTTGTGGGATGTTGACTCCACCGATGATCATATTTATGACGTGTTGGGGTTTGGTATCTTCTCGTCCTGTCGGTTTGTTAGAATCCCTATTTCTAAAGTGGTTTTTGGCTCGATCGCTCAAAATTTCTCGAAGGTGCTCATTGTTGAATAAACGGGCTACTTCTTCCATCAGTTGTCGACAATCTTCCGTTCTATGACCGTGAGTGCCATGACATTTGCACATCTGTTAGGGTCCCTTTGAGCTGGATCAGATTGTAGAGGTCAAGGCCATTTGGTATCATTGATGCGCCTGATAGCATATACGATGGCGGCATCATCGACATTAAAGTTGTACTCTGATAGCCTTGGTGCTTCTTTAGGCCCGATGGTCCTGTCGAAGCCATTTTTGGTCATGAGCCCCCAGTTTCTTCGACCTCGATCACTTCTCCAGTCGTTCCTCACGGGGTTCCGCCCCGACCCACTGCTTCTTCAATCTCCATTATAGGGCCGATATCAATCCCTGTTTGATTCTGGTTCACGATCGATGTCCCTCTTGGGTCTATCGAGAATCCTGGCGGGTATATAGACTTCGAAGGTGCCCCGAGTTGATCATCTTCGACTCTGATTTTTGATTGATACCGATTGTGTACATCGGTCCAGGTAACGGTAGGGTATTCTATCAAGCTTTGCTTTAATTATTGTGAAGCCACCGAGTTTTGAATATTGAGTCCCTGAGTGAAAGCCTGAATAGCCCAATCATTAGCGATTGGCGGCAGATCCATTCGTTCTATTTTAAAATGGGACACGAATTGAGCTATCGCCACATGTTGAACTTGTAGCATTTCGAAGATCATGCGTAGACTAATCTCATCTTCTTCAATGTTCTGTGTGTTTCGAGCTGCAGATCGGGCTCTACCACAGACGCTATTTTCAGGGTCGGTCTGCAAGTTTGCGTCGATGGCCACATGTGAATTTACATCGATTAGATCTGCAGTCTGAATCCCAACAACATCAGCGGGTGGCCCTGCATTAGCGGGCGCCATGTTGTTATTCTTACCTTAAATGACCAGCCTCGTTGTCGATATGTAGAGGTGCCAGTTGAGAGTTTGCCATTTTCGGCCTGAGATCAAAGATACTTCAAAGAGCAAGTGTAAAGTAGTGTGTATTATGAAGGTTTGTACCAAATAACCACTATTATCCTTAGCCCCACGGTGGACGCCAAACTGTTTACCCCAAAAAATCGGATAACAATTGAATTTATATGTGGTTTTAAGGATAAGTGATCTAATTTGATACAAAATGAGAAATCAGATTTAATATGAAAGAATAAGTAGAAAAATAAATACAAACCATGCAGATTGAACAACTTAGGCCTCGCAAGGTTAAGTTCCTTCGAATTTAGATGTGATATTATTGAAGCCAGAATAATATGAACAAAGCTGGAAAAAATGGTATCTTGTTCTCTAAAGTATGTTACAATGTGTCCAAAGACTTACTCCATTCCTTTTATATATACAGGGAGATGAAACTTTTAAGACATTATTTTATATGAAATTATGTATACCGTTGGCTCCCTTTTTGACTTAATCGGCTAATTTTCGCCATAATGATTGGTCAGTGGCGAGAATCACGGATACTTGTCTTGTGAGTTGGCAAAGCTTTTCTTCGAGGTTGTTAGAAGCAGGGTCGGTCGTGCCCCCGATAAGTTCGAGGGCAAATCTGATGGTCTTGTTCGAACTTCGATCCTCAATATCGAGCTCAGTCACATCTGTAACTTCGATCTCTTACGCAGGTACCGAGCCTTGATCTATTGTTCCAGATGCCTCGATCAAACATAGAGCTCGGTTCTACCCGTATACAAATGGTATAACGAAACAAAATAACCGTTAAAACATAAAGGTTGAAAAGCTTGTTTGATAGGAAAAAAAATATCTAATCAATATTTAATATTTGGATGATTAAACGAACTTTCAGAAATTGTGAGTTGTATAAAGTAACTTTATAATCGAAATAGCAACAAACATCAAGAACTTATATTGAAGAAGTACTATAGATGAGTCAAAAGTCAAAACACTTGAGTGGGTCTGAATTTGATACTCTCGACTTACAGAAACAGCACAGGACAGGTAATAGATAGAGTATTCCGAGTTTCATGATAAAATCAAACGGAAGATTGAAGATCCTTAAACGAGCCAGAGAACAAGAAGCAATGCTGCTATATCTCCTTGCTCAGGAAGCTCCTGGTGCCATATGTATAAACACTAGATTATTTAATTATAATATTTTTAATAAGTTTTGTTATTTCAATTTGACGCTCGATGGATATTTTTTTAAAAATAAACCTTGCAAATATGCAAGGATGATTCTCATTTCTTTGGTATTTTAAAAAGTTATTTTTCTCCATTAGCTTTATCTTGCTTACTTGAGCGTAGTTATAAGTAGTGAACTCATAATACCCTTGTGTGCTCCATTTATCTCATTTACGTTTGAGTTATTTAGAAAGTAAGCTTAGTTAATATATACACGTTGATTTCTAATAATTGTAAAGTAAACATTAATTTCTATTTTTATTTACTTTCTCCCTTCTTTATTCTTCGCGGACCTTTAGAAACATTTTGAGAAAATTTTAAATAAATAAAAAGAACTTCAAATAAAATTTAACTTCGTAATAGAAAACTAAACAAAGAATGACCAGGAAAATAAAATATGTCTTTTGCAAATTATTTTTTTTCAACTTGATTAAACCAAATTAACTACTTCACAAAATATTGTGCAAGTATTTTATTAAACTAAATAGTACTTGACACAACAACTATATTAAGAGCTTTTAGAATAGAAATTTTCAAGTTAACCATAGTAAAAGGTATTACAAAAAGATGATTTGATAAATCTTTTCCTGTAAATCATTTAGTTCTTGAAAAAAAATAAAGTCTTTGTTGACACAAGTTAAATCTACTATAACTTTTGTGCAAAACAATTTCAAGTAAAAAAATGAATTACCACATAAAATAATTATAACTTATGATATACATCATTAATCCTAGAGAGTATTTATAAAAATCAATTGTCATAATATATAATTGCAATTTATGATATAAAAATATAGTCCTTGATAATTCTTAAATAGCTTGATAACGACAGCTCAAAACTTTAAAAGTAGACATAGATATATACTGTTTAAAATCATCTCTTTTATTTGTATGATGCACCATTTCATGTAGTGAAAATAAAGCAGAACAAATGAAGGGTAACAATGGCTGGGACATTTTAAATTTTGCTCTAATAGATAATTGGTTGAATGAGTTAAAAATGAAAATTTTGTTTGCTCACAAACATAATAAATACTAATGGTAATGGACAAGTTATATACAAAAAAATAAAATTAGCTGTGGAAATGGAATTGTCAGCCGCAATCATAATGAGAGGTGGACCCACTGAAAACTTATAAGGTTGCCTCAAAGGGCTAAAAAGTCTCCGCAGTCAAATTCTACTAAAGTTAGTGTAGTTATCAACTTATTGGACCAATCAAAGCTCACAACAATAAAGTTACATATGAAATAACAAGAAGAGGCCTTTGTCGGCAAGCTGGCAAGACAACGCCCAGCTGCTTCAAAGCCTCTTCTATATATTAGAAAAAAAATCAGTCAGCACGAATTTTGTACATTCGATATCAACTGAATAGAAAAGTTGAGCACAGAGTTTATGCACTAACGTCCACAAGTAGAATATTTTTGCCATTGGTATGCTACCGTCATTTACTTCCACAGCTTTCGCAAAGACATATTCTTCTCCGTCTCCTTCTTCATTACCTTGGCAACTGCCATCTCAAAATCTTCTTGGGTCACGTGTACCCTCCTCTCCCTTAGAGCAAACATTCCTGCTTCTGTGCACACAGCCTGTAAACAGATCATAAGATGCATCAAAGGCATGGCAAAATATAAGCAAGCGAAGCGTCAGATGGCACTCAGTCAAAGTAGAAGTTACACAAGTCTCTCACATGCTAGATCACAAGTTCAACCGCTAAACTAAGCATGCGCATGCTCTCAAGCAATCAAAGTGCACATTAAAAGGATACGTCAGATATCAATTAAAGCCAAAAAGACATGCAATCGCTGCACACCTTAAGTTCTGCCCCAGAAGCGCCATTCATCTTCTCAGCAATTTTCTTCAAGTCAATCCCTCGCATCAAGTTCATCTTCCTGGAATGAATCTTCAATATGTCGAAACGGGACTGCAGAATAATGAGAACATAATTGATTAAGATGAATCATCAGAGGGTTATAGAAATAACAATAGAAGGCATGCAGCTCTGTGAGGAAGCAGAGAGGTAGATATTGCCGCATCCTTTCAATCATGTTTAAACACCTCTTGTACTATACTCCCTTCCGTCCTTTTTGTTTGTCGTTTAAGGTTTTGGGTAAAGCCACAGATAAAAAAGACCAGCAGGAGTAATTTAAAAAAAAAAAAAAAAAAGTAAGCAATCACAAAGGGAAGACCTGAGATCCATGAACCTAGAAACAGTATATGAAACCAATGCATCCTCATGTTAACATCTTACTATCTTACAAGCTATGAGGAACCGTACCTCTTCATTGGGATTTGGAAATTCGATCTTCCTATCAATCCTTCCTGGTCTCAGGAGTGCTTGATCCAGAATATCTATACGGTTTGTAGCCATCAAAACCTGAAGCCAGGACCCTTCTTTTTCAGCTTAACAATCTCAGAATAATACACTTGTAAACTAGGCAACATGCAAGTGATCCAGATTGACAAAACTTGCCTTAATTTTGTTTGATGCCTCAAATCCATCGAGCTGATTAAGAAGCTCCAACATTGTCCTCTGCACTTCACTATCACCGTTGCCACTTCCTGATTCCATTCTAGCAGATCCAATACTGTCTATTTCATCCATAAAAATGATAGAAGGAGCATGTTCCCTGAAATACATTCAAGACCAGCCTTTTCTAAAGCTAAATGTATAACAAGAGAGCGAAAATGAAGCACTGAGCTAAATGTACTTCTCCAGAATAGGACTGTCCGGTGATTTTTTGGAAAGTTTCATCAAGTTAGCAGATTTTATGGTATTACAAGCTTCATGCCCCAACTTTCAAGCAACAAGATAGTTTCAGATATTAGACATCCATGAATTCTTATTCATGGAGCACAAATGGCCTAGGGTGTCTGTGAACTTTTGTGGTTACAAAAGCTGCTAGAGGAATTGAGATTGTCCGAAAACGGGAAACTTTCCTTGTTTAGTGATAATAAGGCTGCAATTAGTATAACTCATAATCCAATCCAGTATGATCGAGCAAAGCATGTTGAGATTGATTGACATTTCATCAAAGAAAAAGTTACAAGTGGCATCTTAAGTTCGTTCCATGTGTTATCACAAAAGCAGCTAGCTGATGTGTTTACTGAAGGTCTCAACACATTGACTTTTCAAACACTGGTTTGCAAGTTGGGTATGTGCGATATCGTTGCACCAAGTTGAGGGGGGTGTTGATTAATTAGAGATTTCCTAGTTTAATTGTAGGAGTAGATTGATTCTAGAATATTTCCTTCACTATAATTAATTGTAATTGATTGTCTTTCCTTATTTAGTCTTCGGACTTATTGTATAACCTATTCTCATGGGATGTAAAAATACACACAAAAATACAAGAAGTCTTCTTCTTAAAATCTTCAAGCTGGCATACTTGGGCATTTCATCCATATCAATCACAAATAATGAAAGAATGAAAAAGCACATCTGCAAATAGGCACACCTAATGCATGAATATTCAGGCTGCCTACTGCAAAACTCCCTCCCTTTTTCACTGTCGCCCACAAAAATGAACAAATTGCAGTAGTATATCGTAGGCTAACCCAATGTAAGGATCGAATTTGACCTTAGCAGCTCAACATAGTGAGCTAGAAATGGCTATCCAATGATTTGGATGTAATAAGATCAGAAAGATGCATAACAGAACTGATTATGTAATAAAAGTTATGGACATTAGAGATACATATGTGTTGAGTACTCAAGCTATAATGAAACTTAACCTGGCCATCACAAAGAGTTCTCGCACCATACGAGAACCTTCTCCAATATATTTCTGCACCAATTCAGAACCAGAGACCCGAATGAAGGTACAATCAGTATGATGTGCAACTGCCCTAGCCAACAATGTTTTTCCAGTACCTGGAGGCCCGTAAAGAAGCACTCCCTTCATTTGAAAAGGAGGAGATAGAATAAGCACACATAAATTTGTCCAACCACTGTTATGCTTAAAATACTGATGGAAGAAATGGAGAAAACATGGTAAATGGTGAATAACTGAATATACCTTAGGTTGAGCTATTCCAAGAGACTCAAACAGCTCAGGATGTTTAATGGGAAGCTCAATAACCTAATGCATAAAAGGCCAAAGTTCAAAAAGGTTACACAAATGTACAATGCATCAAAGACCAAGGTCTCAAGATAGATCATAAAACTAACTAAACACAATAACACAATGAAGGCAAAACCTCCTTAATCTCTTTAATTTGCTGGTCAAGGCCACCAATCATGTCATAAGTGGAATCAGGCACTTTCTCAACTTTCATTAGGTTGACCAATGGATCCACTTTGCTGGGCAAAATTAGATGGAGAACATAGCTGTCATTGCGGAGGGCTACTCTGGTTAATGGAGTAATCTTTGTAATGTCAATATTCTTATCAATATCAACAGCATATTTTCCTTCAGGATGAACCTGGCGCATAACACAAAGATAAGAAAATAAGCATTTGGAAATTAATTATAGATGTATAGAAAAGAGGGATACAGAGGTATGAAAACTTATGTTTGATCAACATTTCAAGTTGAATAAGTATTGGTAAGTGGATCCACAGAAAACTATAGAAACACTGCATCCTAATCATTGTGCGACGCGCAAGGCTTTTTCCAGGAGTTCTGACTGATATAGAGTAGAAATTAACAAGCTTCAGTAATTCTTTTTGATAAGGAATTAACAAACTTCAGTAATCATTCACATTTTTATGTAAGGGAGGATATTCTGCACTGTAGCCTAGTATCTTTGCTCCTCAACCCAGCTTCTAAAATTTTCTTTCTTCATCCTTCATTTTTGCATTACAATCCAAACAAAAATAGCAGTAACAAAATTACTTTGGGTTACCAAAAAGTAGAGCAGATTAATAAACTCAATGAAGCAAAATCATTTCTGCCCATACCATATGAATAAGTAATAAATAGTAAAAGGTTCTCATCATCACCCTCTTCTAGAGGTCATGTAAAAGCTACATGATAATATTTATTTAGATCAAAATTAGAAACAGACAGCGGATGAGCATCTTAAAATATAAGTTGTTTATATTCATCATAGAGCACACACATGGAATGGCACGCTATCATTGTCTCATAATTGTTTAAATTCTCTCCAAGGAGAGGTGGGAAGGTAAACAAATATTGAATGACATGCTTTAAAGTTTAATAAAAAGGTAGAAACATCTTTTAAGGTTTTGTTATTCGTTCAAATACTATCATGAAGCATTGAAAGAGGGCAAATACAAGCAGCGATAAGATAACTGTTATTCAACACAACTATTAAAGAATTGAATTTGTCACCATTAATGCTGGAGGGAAGAAATAGAAATGAAAATTATGATGGACAGTCAGAAACAATAGACCAAAGATTAACATTAAGATAGAAACCCAAACAACTCATGAAGTGGGAAATAAGATCATTAAGTCAAGGAATAAGTTCCTGAGCATAATAACATATCAACATTAAAACTTAAGCTGAGATGACCATTTATTGCCCCAGACAACTCAAAAACCCATTACAACCTTTCATCTGTGACGATGGTCTTCAAAAGCATAATATGCTTTTAACTTGTTGTATAATTTAGAGCCTCATCTTTCATTGCAATCACATAAGCACTTAAAAAGTTTTGATATAACCATGTTTGTGAAGTCATCCCACAAAATGCTCCAAAAATGCAAACTGTGTAGATAACTTCTTTTTTTTTTTTGGTTGGTGAAATATGCTGACATATGTGTATTTGTGTGTGTGCACACATGTGCACTAACTAAGAGAATATGCATTTCCAGTCAACTATTTCCATAAATTTTAGTGTGATCACAGAAAATCCCCTCATTCCCGCCACCTAGGAAGACCTTCAGGGGCAAAAACTATTCCTTTTAGCAGAAAAAGAATGCAAATCAATTCGACAAAAAAAGAGCTATTTCATTCATCAACAAAAACAAGCACTAAGGGAGCAAATTGCTAGCAAGCAAGTCAACCAAGCACATGAAACATAAATGGTCGTTGCTACATGCATTAGTAATGTAAACATCACCGTGAACAATGTGCCGCTAAATGAACCAAGTGCAACATTTCCCAAGGAAAAACTCACAGAAGTGAACCAAAAGCACATGAACCATAAATGATTGTGGATATGCATTAGGAAAATAAACATTGACAGGAATATTTTTAATAAACCAAATGAATCCTTTGCCAAGGGAAAGCTCACAGAAGCTTCTGTAATATGAAAGCATGTGTTTGACAGATTTTATATTGTAGGACAAACACTTCGAATTTCAAAGATAACAAGAAGTTTTTCCTTTTCTTGGATATAAGTAAGAAAATAACAAGGTTTAGATGCATTACTTACTTTAACTAAAACTTTTGACTTCCCCATCATTTTAACAACTTCACCAACATATGATCCAGGCTCCTGAAGCAATTGTAATTCTTCCTTAAGCATTCTCACTGGGCATACACATACAAGAAAACACATCTTATGAGCCAAACAAAACACTGTTCCGTTCATAGACTGTAAAATTCCAAATTACAACTCAAAACGACAGGCATCAAAAACATCACACAAAGTCGGGTACCCCCCCCCCCAAACCCCACCCCAAGAAAAAAAAATAAAGCTAAAGAAAGAACTTTTGGGATGTTCGGGAAATATTAGGCAATTTAAACTAAAATATCAGAAGGGTAAAATAGAAAAAAGGATCTCTATAAAAGAGGAAAGAATGACAACTCATTCTTCTTGTTTAATCATCAGAATTAACTGGAAGTTTTTGGGGTCCATTAACACAGTGGAAGCAGTTACCGTGCTAAAAATAGAAATTCTTGGCTTTAATTTGAAAATTCATAATATAATCACATAGATGCACATAGCAATGCAGTACGCGTAGCATATAGGAGTGCCCCCAAACGTAAACAGGAAAGAAATTCTAAAATACAGACATCTAGGTTTAATAAAGTTCCGGTTTCGAGATTTGGAATGAACCTTTGGAATTGAGCTCATTGCGTTGGGCTTCAAGTCGATTGAGATTGTGAGTCTTGAGCCGGACCTGAAGCTGGAGATCATGGATATGCTGCATATAATATTGTCTCAGCCCTTCTCCTTGCTTCGTTCCTTTTGCCGCCGAACAACTCTCCTCTCTCTCCATCTCCGTCCTGCTCTTCTCTACTTCCGCTGACGCCATTATATTCAATCAAAGCAGTGCATAGTTTGGAGCAAAAGTTTGTTAAATATCACTGCTTCTTTTCTTGTTCGAGGGGAAAAGATTAAGGGGTCGTTTGCGGATAAGCAAAAATATTTAGTATTGTATCATAAAAATAAATATCGAAATAATTTATATTTATGATCTATCATTCAGTGTTAGTAATGGGGAGATAAGTTATTGAGTAGTAAAATTAATAATAACAGAATTAATACAATATGTCAAATATCGACATAACTAATTTCAATATAACTAATTCAATCAGATATTATTTTCTAACCAAACGAACCCTATGGTGAATTACGATCTCGACCCTATATTTGCTTATTATCTAGTTTTTATATCTATCTATATAAATTATAAAAAAGGGTTAGATTTACCCTTTTACTTTTATCATTCCTTGTACTATTCGTCTAAATACACCTTTACAGTTACCAAAGTTTAATTAATCTTCTATTTCTAACGGCAGTCCATACTTGGACGCCGTGTGTGTATATATTAAAAATCCTTTTTACATTTTTTTCTGTTCTTATTAGTTTACCTTTTTCTTCTTCTTTTTTTCCTTTTTTTTTTCTTGTCTCTTATTTTTCTCTAGTCTCAATGGAACCAACCCACTATTTCTGAGCTTCAACCGTGGGTTAGCTTCTTCCTCAAATTGTAAAGAATCCAACATTCAACAATATCTACCAACGATTTTTAACTTCCAATTAGTAATTTCCAAAAAGGTTTTAACACAAATGGGCCACCGCTTTGAATGTTAGTCACACAAACAGTTCAAATCTCATAGATCCATCAGTTTGGAATTTTGAAATTTTCTTCAATGTTTTGAATAACAAATAATTATTTATCACTATTCTATATTTCTGTTTACCCTAAAAATGGATAACAACTGAATTTATACGCGTTTTTAAGGATACGTGATATATCTTGGCACAAATTAAGAGAATATATTAATATTGAATTTGACGATACAAGAAATAAATGTAAACCAAACGAGTCGAATAGCCTTGGCCCTCGAGTTAGACCACCTTTGAACTAAGAGAAGTTTCAACTTGATATAAGAACAGAGTATTGCTTTCAACTTAAACAATAATGAAAGCTAGAAAAAGACAATGTATTGCTTTATGTTGCGTAAAAGTTCTCCGTTTACAAATGATTATACCCTCTTTATATAGTAGGAGAGTCCTACTCTTGATACAGTTCTAAATGAAGTAAGAAATTTCCTGATTGGCTAATTAATTGGCCTATCTTTGATACATGCCGAGATCTCCTCCGTGATCTACGCTCGATCGCGGATATTTCACCTTTCTGTTATCCGACTCAGCAAGTTTCCCTCGATCTCGCCTGATCTCGACTTTGTTCGGTCCCGGGGTCTCGAGCTTGGCGATATAATTTCACACCCCGGTTTGATATGACTCGAGGTCGGACCTTAATCTACCATATTCCAGTTTTGATTAGTCAATCAAAGGGCTAGCCCGATTTTGGCCGTATACAGATAGTCCCCTCGTTTCTCGGAGAGAAAATGACGAGAAACGACATGAATTTCTGAATCCCGTCTCGATGGGCCATGACGTAAGTGATGAACCCGACTATGACGTAAGCGACAAATGGATATCGAAACATTCCGTCGGTCCAGTTATCAAGGCATTAAATGCGTGCCAGTCGCTGGTCGGCCACTACCGGTTCTGAGCCGTCACCAACAAGCTATAAGTATCTAATTTTTCTTCATTCAAACTTTACGCTCAAAGCTCCTCATATTCTTATTTTTCTTTCAAAAATCCCTTTACTTTGCAACTCTCGTACCCAAATTTTCATCAAATCGTATACCATATTAATTCTCTTTCCTCATGTTCTTCAATGGCGAAAACTTCTAAGATCATACCGCAAAAGGAGGCCGCTTCTTCATCACGACCCGCCGGTGGCGGGGGTGCGGCGGAGCCTCACCTGAGTAGTTCGTTCCGGTAGGGTACCCCACTGTTACCGATTTTAAGGTTAAAAAGACCTCCTTGGTACCAGGCCGTTGTCAGCCGATCTTGAGATACATATGCTCAATCACCGAGGATCTCCTCACCAAGGTCAAAGAGGACTGTAACTGGGTCAATAAGCATGTGGTGGTTCCTTCGTCCGAGGAATCGATCACTACCCACGTGGAGGATTTTCTAAGTGTTTACATTTATCCCTTCACGTTTGGTCCCTTAGACTCATCATCATTGCCTTTTGCAAGAGGTATGATGTGACTCTTGGCCAAATTCACCCCTCATTTTGGAGAATAGTGATTTTCCTCTGATTTTTCGCAAGCAAAATCGAGGGGTGTCCCTTTACCCTCGACCACCTTATGCGCCTCTATCGTCCCCGACTCTATCGAGGGGGGATGATCATGCTTGATCGCCGGGCAAGTAAGGCTCCGTTCTCGAGTATAGACGAAACTTGGGATCGGGGTTGGTTGGGCCAATTTGTTCGAGTAAAGACTTCGGACATGATCCCTGCTGAAAACATGCTATTTCCCGAGAAATGGAACATAAAACGTAAGTAGTGTTTCACTTCGAAGGTTCAATCTCGTTATCTTCCTTCTTATCTCTTTCTTCATTGATATTTTTGGTGTCGCAGCTGTGGCCCAGATGCCGGACGCAGTTCCTGAACTTAAGGAATGGGTCGAGGGCCTTGTGTCACAGAGGCCGTATTCTGAGCGTGCTTGGATGGAATTATCGAAAGGTCGATGGGTGGCCCGCAATCATGGTAAGAGCTTTTCCCTGATACATCTGAAATTATTTCTTTTTATCATCGGTCCCTGATTTGTTATTTTATTTCGCAGGTTTACCAAAGGACGTCGAGATGAGGCCTCCATCAGCTGATAATGATATACACGTCAATCCCCCTACTCCGAAACATGTCAAAGAGAAGGGGGAAAAAAATCCCCGATTCCCTCCGACTCTGAAAAGTAGAGACCGAGGAAGCGGCTGGCGCATAAGCGCAAAAAAGCTGGGGCCCGAGAACTCTCATCGGACTCACTCAATCGGTTGAGGGACGAGTCCGAGGAAGAAGAAGATTCTGAGCTGATGGCCCGAGTAAGATGTGGCTCCGAGATGCCTCGAGCCATGGAGGCCGTAGTAGAGACAATGGGTGAAGTCCCCGAGAGGGTCGAGACCGATTTGGCCCAAGCCAGTGAGGTCGAAAAAGAAAGTGTGACCGGTATGTCCCAGTCAGAAGATAACGTACCCAAGGAAGTGCCTGGGGTGATTGACATTTCTGGGTCACCCTCATTTACGGATTCTATGATTAACAAGGCTCAGGCATTGAAGGGTAAACTTGGAGAAGGGGCGCAAGGTGCAGCCGATCCTTTCAATAACGTTTTTGATGGCCTCGACTCTATAGCTTCGGAAGGTGCTATCGGTTTGGGCGACTTATTGGTGCTAAATAAGGTACCATTATCGGGTGCTACTGGATCATCATTGAGCCCAAAATTGGTGGATCGATTCCCTGCCCCAAGTGTTAACCCCGACCGCAGGCGATCGATAACCTTTTCTGTCCCCGAGGATGCCCGGGTTTTCTCTGCCCTTGTAGGGTTTGCTAGCTACCTCAGATGCTTGGTGACCGAGGAAGACCAAGCCGTGATGAATGCAGTGGAGGCGCCTTGCCTATTTAATGAGGCCCAACATGCTTTGAATCGGGTAAGTTCGAGATTCACTTCATTATTTATTTTAAACTTGAAGTTGTAAGTAATTCTAACATCTCTCTTCGGGCTTGCAGGCTTCGGTGTTGCATCATGAGGCTTTCTTCAGAATTTAGGAAGAGCACGTGGCTGAGGCCCGGGAATTCACCGAGAAGGAGGATACTTACAAGCTTCTGAGTGAGAAGCTTTGGGCCGATTTAGAAGCGACTCAGAGTGAGCATGTCGAGATGGACGAGCAGGTATTTCGAGTGCTTCACGATAGTGAAGATGAATTAGAGATAGTAACTAATAATCTGATCCTGTAGGTCTGGCAGAGACTCGAACAGATCGGGCAGCACAAGACATAGGTAGATGTGATACAAGCCAAGGCTGAAGAATTAAAGAAGAATATGGACATCTTAGCCTCGAAAAAGGAAAATGTCCAAGCACAATTGGAGTCGGCCGAGACCCAACTCCAAGCTGCAAAAGAGAAGGCCTCGGTGCAGGTCAAGAAAATCGAGGAGCTTCAATCTCAATTAGACTTAGCTATCTTTGATAAGGCAAACTTGGCCAATGAACTCGAAGTGGCCAGATCTGAGGTGGCCGTGGACAACACCAAAGCCGATGCTAAAGTGGCCCAGTTCAAGGTCGATGTTAAGGCCATCCAGGCGAAGGCCAAGAGTATGCTGGATCATGCAAGATGGCAGGCTTGAGAGAAGCCCTCGAGAGAGTTCATGCTCAAGGCTTCGATGTCCTGGCCGAAATTGAGAATGCCAAGGCAGAGGAAGCTAGGGCCCGGAAGCTAGCCTTTCCTGAGGAAGATTCCGAGAGCTTAAGCGAGTCCGAAGATGGGGAATATCTCGAGGATGGAGATGCTACCTCCGATGAAGACCAGGCCACATAGGCCTTTATATTTTTTGCTTTCTTTTGCATCTTTTTGAGGTCGTTTTGACCATTGTAAATTTTTATACTAGGCCATTATGGCCTTTGTATAAAAGAATTATTATATATATAAGGTTTTCTTCCCCTATAGTCTCTCAATTTTTTCTTTTGCTTTATCACTTATATTCACAAAGGTCGGAATGCCTTAGCATACAATAACTTAGGTTGTGTAAGTTCAGACAAACCTTGCCTTTATAATTTTTTTGTTTTGAGGTACTTCGGGGGTTCATTGTTACCGAGAACTTTCTCCAGAAGTAAGTAACTCAAATTATAGTTTGCCGAGGGTAGCCTTTAGAACCCGTTGTGAAATTTTTTCTTTTTCGAAGGCCTAGTTTTTGTTACGGATTTTGGACGTCTCCGAGCCGTGTTAATTTGGTCGTAGCCATTTAGTTCAGGAGCTTCCCATTGGGCTTGTTTTTTCCCGAGTTATCCGGGCTTGCCCGAGGTAACAGTTCCCGAGTGGGGTGGCCGTGGCCTTTAAAAACTGGGGAGTT